GTGGAAAAGTGAAAATGCAAAGACAGGGCAACAGTTCATCTCAGTAGGAGGGAAATTGTGGCATGACTGGGCAGAACCCAAAAGTTTTAACTCCTACAGAACCACTTCCGGCAGTTCAATGAAGAAAACTCCACTCTGCCTGAAGGCATTCAACATAAGTACAATTTATGCCTATTTCTCCCAACCCAGGAGAGTTAGAGTTAGCACTATAGTCTGCAACCCAATAATGGCTCATAAAATCAATTTTAGTGGGTCACAACTGATATATCTTCTATACATCAAAGTTCATTGCATGTGTTTTATAAGAGTAAAGCATTATTTCATCAAACTTGTGTCAGTTTTTCAAACATGTACACTGGTGTACAATACTATAGGGGTTCTATTACAAAAGATAAAACTATGGAAATAAATTTTTTTTTCTGTTTTTGGTAAAAAATATCTGAATCCTCATGTTTCTGAACTTAGATCAGATTTCAGCATTGGCAAAATTAAAATTCTGAATTCCTTTCTCTAGGTTACTTAAGGACCAGTCCTGTTTTAGAACTGTAGGATACTTTTCTAGGAGAAATATGATAAGTTACAATGAAAATGTCTTAATTTTCCATAATGTTGGGGGGCCTAACTTAGGCATACGCAAACCCTTTCCCCTTTACCTCCCACTCTCCTCCTAAGACAAAGACACAAAGGACATGGCGAGCCCACCCCCTGAGAAGTTTGTGCGAAAGACTATAACCTGATTGGCAAACTATGAAATTTCGCCCAAACCCTACCGACCCTTATAAAAGTGTTCTTTAAGTGCCCCTGGGTGCGGTTGCCATCTTTGCACTGCCCAGGTGGGTCATCCTCCCCTTTCAATAAAGCTGACCTAAACTTCTCTCCTGCTGTGGTTTCGTTTCTGGGTAAAATTGTTCATGCCTTTTACATCCCAGAGAACTTCCTGAATCCTAGACAAAACATTTATGTGGAGGTAGCTCTCGGAGAAATTAGTTACACTGAGTTATATACAGAAAAGCAGCGCTCTGCCCTGAAATCCCAAAGCAATGACTACAATGCACTCTCAAGCCCTCAGTCCTTGCCTTGCTTGGCTCCTGTTTCTCTGAGTGGCCGGCCTAGAATGTGACTAGGCCTCTGGAGAAAGGGAACCAGGAAGGATTGATTGGGCTACACCCCGGAGAGGCTCTGGTCGGCTCCGAAAGTTTCTGCAGTAATTCTTCTGGTCAGTGGTTTTTCACATACCCTGTGGGATTGGAACAGGCTTGGATTCCTTTTATAAAAACTTGTTCTGGACGGTGCCTGTGGCTCAGTGGGTAGGGCGCTGGCCCCATATACCAAGGGTGGTGGGTTCAAACCCAGCCCCAGCCAAACTGGAACAAAAATAGCGTTGTGGTGGGCACCTGTAGTCCCAGCTACTTGGGAGGCTGAGGCAAGAGAATCCCATCTCCTGAGGAGTTGGAGGTTGCTGTGAGCTGTGTGACGCCATGGCTCTGTGGCACTCCACTGAGGGCAACAAAGTGAGACTCTGCCTCTACAAAAAAAAGAAAAAAAAAAACTTGACTTGTAAAAACAAAGCTTATAATGAATGCTAAAGGCAAAGAGGCTCTTTTGTCAGACATGATGACTTTCTGTCAGGAATTTAGAATAAAAGGATGAAGTGGGGGTGGGGCGGGGGGATGCCTACGAAATGCTTTATTTGTGTTTTGCCTTTCTTACAATTATAGGCAATTCTGACATGCTTCATAAAAAGGTTTATTCTCACTAGATCTAGATCTTTCATTTAGAATCTGAAGTTTAAAAAGAAAAAGTCAAAGCAAAGTATGTGAATTTGCTGACCCCTAGTGGATGAAATAGATTGTGACTATGAATTATATTGGAGAGTAATTGAAGATGGAATATTTGTTCAATATTTAAATGTCATTTGTTAAGAGAGTGGATCTCAGATGCTCTTATCAAACTCACAACACATACACATACATACACACACGCACAGGAAACTATGTGAGAAGTATGTTCATTTGCTTGACTGCTTGAGTGTAGTAATAATTTCACTTTGTGTATGTATCTCAGAACATCATGTATATCTTAAATGTATAGCATAACATTTGTATATGAGGCCAAGCATTGTGGCTCATACCTATAATCCTAGTACTTTGGGAGGCTGAGGCAGGAAGATCACTTGAGGCCAAGAGTTTGAGACCAGAGTTGGCAATATAGCAAACTGTCCCTACAAAAAAATAGGAAAAAATCAGCTGGGTATGGTGACATGCACCTGTAGTCCCAGCTACTTGAGAGGCAGAAGGATCATTTGTTATTTCAGGTTCATTTTTCTCAATTTATTATAACAAATTCTACTTTAAGACCTGGGACGTTTTTATTTTTCTCCTCTTGCTATTATTTTCCAGTGAACAAATGCAAAGCATTCTGTATTTAAACTTGCATTTTCCCTGGTCTCTCTTTACCTCACATTTCAGTGAGGAGCAGAAAACGACCAACATCACCTTTGGGGAATGTTCTTAAATATCAACACATCAGCAAATTCATATCCAATTATATCAGAATTATAAATGTTGAAAGCACAATGTGTTTGGTATAGCCGATTTTCATTTTAAATACGTATTGTAAGGCAGTCGTCAATCTAGTGTGATTATTGTAAGCAGGCTAGGAAAACTATGGCAGGAAATACTCAGCTCTGTGTTGGTCACAGCGCTAGACAGTTTCACTTATTGTGAGTGCAAGGGTTGGAGGGGGGCAGAGAATACTCAGAAAATTTTTTCGGTTTTTTTTTCAGATGATGTGACTCAAGTGACTCAGGAAACATTCACAGATGATCCTAGTAAGTTACTTTTTTTTTGTTCATTTGTTTGCTGTCATTTTGGGGAGAGAGAGATTGAGGATGATGTTTTCACAAAGAAAAATAAAGACTAGAAAAAGGTTGGTGGACACCATGAGTTACAGGGCTCTGCAGTCCACCTTAGATTCCAGTGTCTCTATCTGTGTGTCCAATCTGATAATCTCTTCCATTTCTTTCTGTGACAGTCCCTTATTTGTCTGAGTCTACATGCTTTCACTCCAGTCTTTCTTATCTCCTTTTAGATCATCATTTCTTTATCCTTCTCTTTATTATAAAAAGAAGTTATATGACCTGGCAGTTAAGAGTGTGACCTGGGCTGCCTGTGTTTGAATCCTACCTAACTCTGACACTTACATTTTATATATTTATTTATTTACTTATTTTTGAGACAGAGTCTTACTTTGTCACCTAGGCTAAAGTGCCATAGCATCATAGCTTGGGCTCAAGTGATTCTCTTGCTTCAGTCTCCTGAGTTAGGGGGTACTACAAGCAGGGGCCACCGTGCCCAGCTAGTTTTTCTATTTTTAGTAGAGACGGGGGTCTCCTCTCACTTAGGCTGATCTCAAACTTCTGAGCTCAAGCAGTCAACTTCCCTTGGCCTCCCAGAGTGCTAGGGTTACAGGTGTGAGCCACGACGCCAGAGCTATCCTGCTTCTCTTAGCTACTTTTCCCACCTGCATTTTTCATTCTCTGTTGTGTATCTTTGCAGATCTGGTGAATGACCCACCAACAGATGAAACAGGTAAGTTTTAGTGGAGTTCTTTAAAAAAATGACATGATTCATGTTAATACTCACAATATTTATTCTCGTTCTTGAATTCTTCCTAAATTTTTATCTCTGGATAGAAGGGTTATGGGAATGTTGTTCAGTGACAGTAGAATAAAAGGTAAAAGTGGCCTTCTATGCCTGTAAAGACAGGGTATAAAGTGGATTAATAGCTCAAATAAGGCATGGATAATAAAGGCTTCAAAAAGTTGGTAAAATGTCAACAGAACTAATATTCTTCAAAAATATTCACCATGCTTTCGATTAATTCTATATCCTTGTACATAAAACAGAAACCCAGCCACAGCCTTGCCCTTGCCCTGGGATCTTCATTCTCCCTCTTTCCACTCAGCCTTCCCCCTTGTAGTTCAAAGCCTCCTCACACTTGCTGTTTTGTGCCTTTTCAGTTCTGGCTGATGTCGAGCCTTCCATAGATGATCTGGGTGAGTTCAGATCTGGGATCCCAGGGCCACCAAGGCCATTCTGGGCTTTCTCCAGAGCCCATTATGGATGGCAGTGCAGCTGCTGAAGGATCCTAAATAGACAGTAAGACAGCTTATGCAGAACATTCTTCCAATAGTTCAATTTAAATTAATGACATTCTTGAATCCCTAACAAGCAGGCACCGTGCTAGGTGTTCTGTACACAAAATTATAAGGTATGATCTCTCTCTCAAAGTTTCCAAGACTTGGTGGGTAAAAGCGAGACAGGATTTAAACAAATGTCTAGGAAGATAAAAGGAAGTTTCCTAGAAGTCATGCTTGAACTGAATCTTTTTTTTTTTTTTTTTTTTTGAACTGAATCTTAAAAGAATTGGAGCAAGCCAGGAAGCCTCTGAGGGGATGAGCATCTCAGCCAGAGGGAACAACATGCTCAAAGATGTGAAAGCAAAGACTGGGTTGGCACATGAGGGAAACTAAGTTTTTTTAATGGCTGGGGGAAAAACTACATGTATAAGGAATAAGTGGTAGAAAATAAGAAAAGGAGAGAGAAGCTATGTTATTCTTAACAAATCGTTATTGCGAGCCTACTGCTAGTTACCAGCAATATAAAGGTGAATAAATCTGATTTTCTTCTACTAGATGTCTTCTGTATAATAAACAAGATAGAAAAATAAACAGATGACTTTATTCAGCTTCACAAAATTCTACAATCAGAGTAAGCAAAACAAGTTATGAAAGACACAGAAAGAATCCTTGACTGGATTCTGTGTTAGGGGTTAGGAAAGGCATCTATCTCCCAAGGGGCACATTGACTAAGGTGCTTCTCAATAGACAGGTAGAATGAATAGAATGGGAAGAGCCTTTAGGAAAAGAAAACAATTTGGGTGGCTCGGCGCCCGTAGCTCAGTGAGTAGGGCCCATGCCACATACACTGAAGGTGGTAGGTTCGAGCACGGCCTGGACCTGCTGAACAACAGTGACAACTGCAGCCAAAAAATAGCTGAGTGTTGTGGCAGGTACCTGTGGTCCTAGCTGCTTGGGACAGCTACTCGGGAGGCTGAGGCAGGAGAAATGCTTAAGCCCAAGAGTTTGAGGTTGCTGTGAGCTATGACGCCACAGTACTCTACTGATGGCAATGTAGTGAAACTCTGTCTCAAAAAACCCCCCCAAAAAAACAAAAACAAAGAAAACAATACAGGCAAAAGTCTTAGCATGGAAATGAAAACTAATCAGAGGGTTTATAAAAGGGAAGGTTCTAATCAGATTTGTGATTTGGAAAGAACACCCTCCACTTCCCCCACCATGCCCCTAGAGCAATGTGGGGAGCTAATTTGACCATGGCCATTTTCTAATCTGGAAACCCAGCAAGAATGCTATTGCCATATTTGCAATAAAAGATGGTGGCCTGAACCAAGGCAAAGATAGTAAGAATTAAAGATGAGGGGATTGTTGAGATAATGTTTCTAGTGTTTTAGATGTGGTTTTGGGGGGATGGTAGTACCATGCACTGAAGAACAGGTTTAATTGGTGAAGGGAAAGATAATTAAGTTAGAGATATGTTGCATTTGAACCATCCTCGAAAAATCTAAGAACTCTTCCATTAAAAAGGCAGTTAAATTTACATAGGCCTGGAGTTTAGGAGAGAGATCTGGATTACAAGCATAGGGTTAAGAATTATTAGCACATAAACCTTCCCTGAAACCACAGGATAGATGAGGTTACCCAGCATACTTCCAAATATTTTATTCATTACGACTATTCCAGCGACATTTCCCCCAGATGACCCCTTGAGTTGGTCATCTAACTCCATTCTGTGAATGGGCCCATACTAAACTTGCCCCTAGCTTAGGTGTAGTTATGGATATGACCCTCACTATTCTTTGTTGTTGTTGTCATTATAATCCCCATTTTATTTATTTATTTATTTATTTATTTATTTATAGACAGAGTCTTACTCTGTCACCTTGGGGAGAGTGCCCTGACATCAACCCAGCTCATTGCAACCTCAAACTCCTGGGCTTAAGCAATCCTTCTGCCTCAGCCTCCAGAGTAGCTAGGACAACAGGTGTGGGCCACCATGCCTAACTGATTTTTCTATTTTTAGTAGAGATGGGGACTTGTTCTTGCTCAAGCTGGTCTCAGACTCCTGGCCTCAAGGAATCCTCTTGCCTTGACTTCCCAGAGTGCTGGGATCATAGGTGTAAGCCACAATGCCCAGCTGAGCCTATTCTTTATGCAACAACATTTTTTTTTTTTTTTTTTTTACAGTTTTTGGCCGGGGCTGGGTTTGAACCCATTACCTCTGGCATATGGGGTCAGCATCCTACTCCTTTGAGCCATAGGTAGCGCTGCTGTTATGCAACAACTTTTATCAAAAAACACACAATGATATACCTAATCTGCATTTTTGGTAATGGGGAAGAGCTTCTACAGAATAATAATCTTTTCTCTCCTTAGCTCTGGAAGAAGCTTTTCTGAACATATGGCTCTTTGCCTTATATTCCTATTAAATTTGTTTCTTGCTAAACACAAAGATATTCATATTACAATGAATATTTCAACTCTGGGAGAGAAAGGAAAATGAAAACAATCCCAAATTGGCTTCCTATCTTCAATTTTGTAGATTAAATCAGCCAAATAGGGGTTTCCTTTTAGAAGTTGCTAAGAGTTATTAACTTATTTGTTCCCTATTCATGGACACGCCTAGCACGTCCCAAATGAGTCCAGATAACAGTTACAGAGGTAGTGCCTCCTAGAATTGGTAATAACTGAATAAAATTTCTGCTTTTCAGCCTCATCCAATGATAAAAATACCACCACAGGTATGATTATTTCTTGCATATCTTTTTCTTAAATCTTTTTATTCTTCCTGTGGATTTTTTACCTCCTTGCTCCTTAGAGGGTATTTGGTACATCTTCTAGTTTACTTCCAATTCTTTCTCAAGGAGTATTAGCACTCTTTACCCTGCCCCATACCCCCCCAATTCCTTGTTGTTGTTGTTGTTCTGTTTGTTTTGTTGTTCTGTTTGTTCTGTTGTTTTGTTTGTTTGTTTTGGGTTTTTTTGAGACAGAGTCTCACTTTGTCGCTATGGCATCATAGCTCACAGCAACCTCAAACTCTTAGGCTCAAGTGATTCTCTTGCCTCAGCCTCCCAAGTAGCTGGGACTACAGGCGCCCACCACAATGCTTGGTTATTTTTAGAGATGAGGTCTGGCTCTGGCTGAGGCTGGTTTCCAACTCATCAGCTCAGGCATTCCACCCTCCTTGGCCTCCCAGAATGCTAGGATTATAGGCGTGAGCCACCATGCCTGGCCTCCCAATTCCTTTTTTAAAAAGTGAGCTCCTAGGTGGCACCTGTGGCTCAGTAAGTAGGGTGCTGGTCCCATATACTGAGGGTGGCGAGTTTGAATCCACCCCGGCTCAACTGCAACAAAAAATAGCTGGGCATTGTGGCAGGCACCTGCAGTCCCAGCTACTTGGGAGGCTGAGACAAAAGAATTGCCTGAGCCCAAGAGCTGGAGGTTGCTGTGAGCTGTGATGCTGCAGTACTCTACCAAGGGCGACAAAGTGAGACTCTCTCTCTAAAAAAGAAAAAAAAAATGAGCTCCTAAAAAATTAATTAATTAATTAATTAAAAATGAGTTCCTTGGGTGGCACCTGTGGCTCAAAGGAGTAGGGCGCCAGCCCCATATACCAGAGGTGGTGGGTTCAAACTCAGCCCCGGTCAAAAACTGCAAAAAGAAAAAAAGGAAAAGAGCTCCTGTTCTAAAAATCATAGGGAAAGGATGGAACCAATGTTGCATGGTCCCTAAATAGCCCTCTCCCTATACTGCCTATGGACTTTATTTGGTAGTTAATGGATTGGGACGTGAAATCAGTTTGCAAGGACTCCACTTTGCCATAGATGTCATGGTTGGAATTTCTTTTCCTAATATACTGATAATTCCACTGCTGGAACAGAGAAACGGTGATCTAAGAATTCTTACTCTTCAGAATGAAATCATTAGCATTTCTATTTTATATTTCATATTAGAAAGACTTTTTTCCTGGAAGTACCTGCAGAGATTATTTTATCCACTTCTGCTTCCTGGTAGGGAAGCACCTAAATTT